ATATATATATATATATATATATATATATATATATATATATATATATATATATATATATATATATATATATATATATATATATATATATATATATATATATATATATATATATATATATATATATATATATATATATATATATATATATATATATATATATATATATATATATATATATATATATTAGCTTGAACTATTACAATAAGTATATGATAAATAATCTATTCATTCATATCAATATTTTATAAACTGAACAAAACATTTAGTTGGTAAGATCTCTAGGTCACAATCCAATTAGTTTAAACAATTCAAAGTTTAAACTGTGCAACAAAAAATTCTTATTCAACAAATAAAACTCTATTTCAACAATTTCTCAAACAACACATTTCTTCAACTAATAATGAACAATAATAATCCATAAACTAACCAACAAACATATATCATATAAGATAAATAAAACAAACATATAAGTTGTATGTAGAGAAAACAAACATATAAGTTGTATGTAGAGAAAACAAACATATTTTTAAAAAAAAACTCTAATTTTTTATAAAACTTGACTTTTTTATATATGAAAAAAAATTTTAAAATTTTCATATTTCTGAAAAAAAAACTTGATTTTTTTTATATTTTTGAAAAAACTCTACTTTTTTATATTTTCGAAAAAACTCGATTTTTTTGATATTTCTAAAAAAACTCGACTTTTTCATATTTCCGAAAAAACTCGATTGTTTCGTATTTCCAAAAAAATCGATTTTCATAACAAAATTGATATTAGTTTTTTTTAATTAAAAATATATTTTCTAAATTTTTTTCTTTAAATTTTCAAAAAAAAATAATTTTACTCTTAATTAATTTTTTATTCTTTTTATTAAAAACTAATTAATTTATATAATTAAACTAATTCATAAAAAAATTTGATTTTGAACCGATTTTTAACTGAATTTAAATTGTTTTAAATATATGGTTTAGTTTATCAACCATTTAAGTGGTTCAATTTTTTTATAGTGCAATATAGTTCAATTCAAATATACAATTCAGTTTATTATATTTTTAAATACCCCTACTTATATCCATGGTTTTCCTATTTACAGATTGTTCCTATCTTGTACACAACAATCTCTAACCTGTCATAAATTATACAGATCTGAACCTAAATAACACTGTAATTGTCTCATGAGACTCCAATAAATTTTGTATGTGGTTACAGTCACAGAAAGAAGAAAATCAACAGTTTATTGTTGGTCTTAAACTAGGATTATCAATTGCTTTTTGCTTATGATTGTAACATTTTGCTCAAATTCTAAATCTAATTTAGTTCAAATTTAATGCATTGCCTCAATGAGAATTATTTCATCAGCAACAATTTCGTCTTCTTTTTTATTTTAATTGAGGTTTGGTTTTTTGAGATTTATGCATGTTTGTATATGATTGTTGAGAAAATGATTGAATTCTTGATTTGTATATTAGTATCACATTACATAATTTGTTGTTTTGGGAATTATTTGTTAGTAGTAACAACACTAGTGAGTGAGAGAGAAAGAAAGGTGTGGTTGCTTATGGGAGAGACAAGAATAGTGTGCCACAATGAAATATATGATCAGATAGGTTTACTTAATCTAACGTAAATATGAGTGGCACATGAATGTGTGTCTCAATTGATCTCTCACTTTAGAAGTAATCATATGCTAAATGTAAAATTAAAAACAAAAAAACAAAAAAAAAAAGTTATTCTTGGTCATATTTCATCAAATAAATAATTGTCAAAAAATAATATAAAAAATTTGTATGAGTTAATAAATTAGAGTTTCTTTTTAGCAAATCACTATATGCATCTAAATTAATTTAATAAATTTGTTTTAGATTTTTTAATCTTTGCCAAGGTTTTTTTATTCTTTTCAAGAATCTGAACTGAGAATAATTCTGATTCAGAACAAGTAAGATGAAAAAAAAATATCATTAGAGTCTGAATCTGATTTTGATTAAGATGCTTTTGTGCTAACTTTTAGAGTTATGTTAGCATGCTCTTCTTCAGAATCATCTTCTGAAGCTTTAGAGCTATCATAGATTGTAATCAGAACCTTCTTCTTCTCTCTGAATAATTTCTTTTTAAATATAAGTTTAAGACACTTATTTTTGTAATGTCCAGATTGTTTCTACTCACAATAGGTAACATTCTTGTTAGCTCCAAACTTCTTCTGCCTAGAGGTTAACTCAGATCGTCCACCTATTCTTCTGTAGCCTTTGAACTTCGCATGCCTTTTCTTCCAGAGTTGGTTGACCCTTTTGGAGTGTAGAGACAACTCATCTAATTCTTTAGAGCTTTCTTCAGACTTTTCTTTTGCTTTAAGAGTTTTAGTCTTCTCAAACTTGTCTTTAGACTTCAGAGCCACAAAATTAACTTTCTTTTGGGGTTCATCTTCTTCAAGCTCAATCTCGTGACTCCTTAGAGAAGTTATAAGATCTTCCATAGTTGTGTTGTTTAGATTCTTTAATACCTTAAGTGTTGTTACCATTGGTATCCATTTCTTTGACAGACTTATGATGATTTTCTTTATGTGATATGAACTTTTAATCCAGCTACAAGAGTTTGAAATCTTAAGAGCATTTCCTCAATCATTTCATCCTCTTCTATTTTGAAGGATTCATACTTCTTGATTAAAGCCAAAGATTTAGTTTCTTTAACTTCCTAATTTCCTTCATGAGTTATTTTTAAAGAATCAAATATAGATTTAGTAGAGTCTCTATTTATTATCTTTTTATACTCTAAATAGGAAATAATCTTTAGCAATATGATTATGGATCTACGATGATTCTTGTGATCCTTCTTTAGTCGCTCATTCATTTTGTTTCTTTCAAGCTTTGTACCATTTGGATCTGTAGGATGTGTGTAACCATCTATTACCATATCCTATAGATCAGCATTACAACCTATGAAGATTGGAGGTTTTGCAGAAAAATGATCTTTATCATTATTTGCATGTGTCATTCTGTGTTTTAAAATGGATCTTTATCTGACATGGTTAAATGTTTGACACAGAGTAGTCAATATCAGAACGTGAGCTCTAATGTCAATTAAAGGTTCAAGAAACACAAGATATTGGAGATTGAATTGGATTTCAAATATTACAATTTTCGTTATCACAAAAACAATAACAAAACGATAAAATGACAAGGTATTTTTTATTATGGTTGACCGTTAACAGGGTTAATACAGTCCACTCGCCAAAGTGATTTTGCCTTTTCAACAGGACTTAATCCAATAATCAAACTTGTTACAATCTCAAAGATTACCCGTTAATGACTTCTTAAATATTAGAACTAATCTTAATCTCTTAAAGAATTACCACTCAAAGACTAACCGTCAATGACTTCTTAAAGCTTCTGATTATATCCTAGTCCCTCAAGAAATTTAACAACGGCTAAATACAAGATTTGTCTTTACAAAGTTGTTTCTAAATAGGCTGATACATAAGTGATTATCATACTTTACAATTAAGAATATATGAAATAAAGTTATAAATGCTTATCTCTATTTTCTCTTTCTTGATATTGATTTTCTTTATTGAAATTCCTTCAGCATAAAGTTCATTCCAATTCTTCGTAAAAAACTCTTAAATCGTTATCTTTCACAATTCATTTTTTCTCTTTATATAGATGAAAAATAAGACGGTTGAAAGATAGAATTAGAAACTTTTCAAATTCACCGCTGTAATAGTTTGTACAAAGTTTAGCCGTAAATCATGGGTAGTGGAGAGAAAAAAATTATAGTCGTTTGTAGTACAGTCCTTTTGATTTTGCATCTTAACTTGTATTATATTCTTAGAATATTCATTTATTTATTTTCTCTAAATTATTTGATTTGTATTTGAGACATTTTAAGCTTGAATAGACTTCAGAGTCTAGTGAATATAAGGCTTGAATATATCAGAGTATCATCTAACTGTTTACTTCAGAAGCGTTGATTGTGATATCCATAGTCGACTTTAAGTTCAGAACTTCTTCATGTAATCACTCTGGTTCAGATTCAAATGATGTTCAAAGTCCAAAATATATTTCTATACAAAGTCCAGAGTCTCACTTTGTCCATAGTCTAGAGTATGATTTGATCAACTTTGTTCAGCGTCTAGTTTGTTTAAAATCTTGCTCTATTCTGAAAATATGTCTTGTTCAAAGTCTTCTTTACTCGACTTCTAACTTATTTAGATTATGCTTGATTCATCTTTTGACTTGTTCAAATTTTACTTTGTCTAAATTTTGACTAATTCAAAGTATGCACACTTAACAAATGTACAAAATTGTTTTTTAAACTTTATTATCATCAAAATTCAAAGAAATAGATGCAAAACCAAACTTGTTTCAACAAAAATCTCTTTGATTACCATGTTTTTGTAAGAGATGAAGCCTCTATTTACATTCTCTTCACTTTCGGTTTCTTCATTCTCGTATAATATAACAATTTGTATGGGAGAAGGACTGTCATCTTCTTTTCTTTTGACTTTCTTAGGAGATTATCTTCTTCCTCCAAATTATTTTAGTTTGCAAACCTAGAAGAACCACTCATCGAAACCCATCAATGTAGATTTATATGCATTCTTAAAAGTATTTCTGAGTTAAGAATTTGAATTAAACTATGCTATAGCAACACTTTTAACATAGAGGATATTAACATATACGACAAAATCGTGAGCAACGCGTCCTGAATTGTTATCAAACGTCACGGCACCAGCCGCACCAGCCACATACCGCAACATTAGCTATTAGCTAGCTAGCTAGCCCAGCGAGCAATAGTACTCCTAACAATTACCATAGTACAACCCATTACACTACCGGCTATACCGGTTACCTGTTAACAAAAAAGATAACACTATTAATTGATTACCTTTTTGTACAGTTTATAACCTGCTATAACCGGTAGATTCGAAGCAATCAAAGAAAGGTCCATATATTATATACGCACTTTCGAGATTTCAACCTAACCTAGCTCTTTCTCATCGAAAATGAAGGGTTACAAACCAAGCAAGAACGATGGTAGCAGCAACACTACTAAACCAGAAAAAATGCCAATCTCATTTTCAGATAGCGATCTTGCTCTTCCCATGGTAATCAAACTCCAAATCACCAACAACACTGTTTCAAGAGTCTCCGTCAATCCTGGAAGTCAAGCCAACATTCTCTACATGTCCGCATTCTTGAAGATGGGACTTTCAGAGTCAATGCTGAAACCATTCAAAGCATATCTCAAGGGTAGCTTTGGTGGTGGTGTACCTGTGAAAGGATACATCGATTTGGATACAACATTTGGTAAAGGAGAAAGCGCCAAGATGTTGAAGGTAAGGTATTTGGTTATTGATTCATGGTCTGTTTATAATGTTGTTATTGGCATGCCTACTGTTGCTGAGTTAGGAGCAGTGGTCTCAACCGTACACCTCAGTATGAAATATCCTATTGGAGATGGAATGGTTGGAGTTGTCATGGCGGATCTTGAGATGGCCAAAAAGTGTCACGAAATGTCTCCTCATTATGTGGGTTAGGTTTCTTCCATCAATTTTCAACGTCTAAGAACAAAAAAAGTCTCTTCTGCTATTAGCATTATCCTTACTTTCAGTTTGTAGTTTCTTTAATATTAGTACTGTCACAAATGATTCACTTTGTGTAGCAACGCAAATCAACTATTGGTAGAATTGACTCTTAAAGTGTTAATCAACTTGTGAGTGCAGCAAATAGTTTATGGAACTTTTTATTCAATTTCTTTGTCATTTATGTTTTGATTCAATTCCGTTTTTGTTTTAAGTGTTCTACATGTTTAGCGGAAATTCAAGTGGCTTCAGAAATAGTAATGAACAAAGAAATGCTTCAACGTTGCTCTAGGAAATCAATGAACCTTATGAACTTCTCTTGAGCTAATGGTGTGTTAATTTCATTACATATTTTGGATTTTTTTTTTTTTTGATAAAAAAGCTTATTTGGAGCTTATAGTACAAGTATTTATCAAAATAAGTAGGAATGATATTTTTATACATTTTTGTGACACTACCGTTTTTTTATATAGGTTTTCTTTCTTTATTATATATAATAATTAACTTTTTCACTTTTTCTAATATAAATGAATGCATGTTGCTGTATTTTGGATAGTGATGTAAATTTGGTGTAACAATTTTAGTGTAAGAATAGCGATCCTATTTATAAAAAAGTTTGCATAAGCTATTTTTTTAACAATAGATAATTTAAATTTAAATTATTTTTATATATTCTATAAATTGTTTTCTCAAATTATAAAAATAAATTTAAATTATTTTTATATGTTCTATAAATTGTTTTAATAAATTATCTTCGAGAGCTTATAAAATAAAGTTCAAAAAATCTATGAATAATATTTTAAGTTGTTTTAATTAGGTTTTTAAACAAGGTTACAAAATTTACGACATAAGATAAATTTCAATAGGTAAATCCAAACAAATAATTTATGTGATTCAACTTTTTCGTAAAGAAAAAACATAAAACTCTCAAAATGACCTTAACCTAATGGGTTGGTCCATTATTTTTATCTCTCGTAGACCCAAATCATTTAGTTTTCATAAAATATTGTGTTAGGATTGTTGTAATTCATTAATATTTGAGAAAATTCCTTATCAATACTTTATCCACTACATGAGGTGATATTGAAGAAACTGAAGTTGCTCTTTTATATTTCGAAGATACAATTTTAGACGTACTTAAAACACATAACGTTTTATAAGTGAACTATTCATTTCAAATTTCTCAAAACATGTACCGAAAATGCATCTCATAATTTTTTATGGATAATTTCGTAAATGAATCTCTAGAATAACCGCGGAAAGCATTTGAGAGATCTTGCTTTGGCAACAAGTGTCACAAATTGATATTTTTTATCTAATGATGATTATGCAATGATAATTATACTAATGATATATTAACACCATGCTAATTATACTAGTGTAATTCAAAGATATTTGATATAAAATTTTAAACAATAATACAAACCCAAATATTACCACGATACTGTTTACACCGAAAATTGGTAAACAAGCGTTAATCTTCTTTAAATAAAAGTTACTTGCAAGATCAACTAGTGAATCCTATGACAGTGTCAAAACATTGTTTTATAGTTTTCTATTGAGAGCGCCTAATTTCGACTTGGTCGAAATAGTGATAAAAGAGTGTGAAAATGCAGATTTCGACAATGTTGAAATGAGAAAAGTAATAAAGACGGGAAGTGACAAAGGCAATGTAATTGAACGAAATTGAAAATAACTTGGCAAAACAAAGTAAAACAAATTTTAAAGACTTTGCATTGAAGTAAAAAATGGTGTTTCAATGTTCATACATTCTATCAGTCATGACTCTTTTCTCTGGACGCTGGTACTTTGAGTTTTAGTGAGATTTTTGTAGTGAAATGAACATACCCTGAATTCTACAAATGAACTCCTATATATACTAATACGAAAATAATTGCTTCTAATGTTCTCATCACCAATGTTCGCCACGTGAAAGCTTGCATGTAGTCCTCCTCTACATTCTCTCCATGTGTCCTTCAAAATAGAACTCACAAGTAGTTATTTACATTTGAATGTGATGTCTGTGTGCCCAAATAACCACTTCATCGATGCACTTACTGTTGTCAAACCTAATGCGGTTGAAATGTTTCCACAACATTTCCCAAAAAAAATGCTAAGTCGTGAATCTCCTTCAATCCAATATTCCTCATGCGTAGACGTCATCAATACTTTGTGTACCCTTAGCTTTGTCGTTTGCTAAGGTTTTTTCCTTTATCGAAAAACTTAGCTAACAAATTGCCCCCGCCCCCCCAAAAAAGGCCTCGTTCGATAAACTTAGGAGATATGGGAGTTTTTTATCTTCTCGATCACTGTTCACCTAGTAGGTTGACGTCATGGTCATCATGACCTTTCTTTCAATCGTCACTTTGAAAATGTGGGCTTTCTACTACCCCATAACTCTATTAATCATGGCTCTGCCTTCATAGGATGACGTAGCTACGTGTAGCAGATCGTTTTGATCCTTCTTCTAAGAGAATGACACGTGCCACCTACTTCGCGCCATTTATCCAATGTAAAGATTGAAGAGTCTTTTTCTTTACTATAAATAGTGTTTCGTTCATTTTTCAAATCTTTTCCTCTATTATCTTTAGCATTTCCACTTTGAAAATTTTCTTCTTTAAAAGCTTTCAAAATCTCCAAGCTTCCAACAATGTCTCATTCAACAAAGAACGTCAAAGCTACCAAAGATCCACTCCCTGTGGCCAACATGCTCTTCTGTGCCACTGTGGTTGGAAATCGAGAGTACATCTCAGAGCCTTCAAACCATGAGGAAAAGCTGCGTGTTTACAAATCTCAGGTCCTTATTCCTTATACCATTTCTGAAACCACTCATGACCCTTTTGAGGACCTTATTAAGCTTAGTGATTTTCCCCCACTTATCATAGGACAAAACCTCTAGTTAGTGTCAAAGGTCCTATGAGCCTAGAGAACATGACCACAACTCTACGAGTCTTTCGTTTAGCTCCCTTACCAAACAACATGAAGATTACATCTCTTGGATGAACAAAATAGAGTCCAAAATGAGTAAGATTTGAAAAGAGAAAGGTATCTTCGACTTGATCTAATTGTCAAGAACCAGTCCAACATATTGCCAAAATATGTTGGTCACGTGCCTTTAGTGTTGAGAAAGCACCACTAATACCTTTCAACTTTCCTGTGGAATGGTAACGCCCACATTCTTCGATGTGGCTGCCATTACTGGCCTTTGCCTTATTGGTAGCAACTTCGACCCCAACGAAAGCGACGAGGACATCATTGATTTCAATAGCAATTGTGCCGACTTCGGCAGGTACATCAAAGACTCCCACGTTAGTGGTACTATTGATTTCACCGCTAAAGAACACATTGCGTTCCTTGCATTGTGGATTATCCAGATGCATATTTTGCTACAGATCCATTAAAGTGGCAAAAAGGTATTTTACTCTTACCAATCAAAGTAGTAAAGCCAACATTCTCTACATGATCGCATTCTTGAAGATGGGACTATCAGAGTCAATGTTGAAACCATTCAAAGCATATCTCAATGGTACTATCGAAGATGGTGTACCAGTCAAAGGATACATTGATTTAGACATGACAATTGGTAAAGGAAAAAATGCAAATATGGCGAAGGTTATGTATCTGGTTATTGATTCATTACTTGTTTATAATGTTGTTATTGGCGTGCCTATTGTTGCTAAGTTAGGAGCCGTCATCTCAACCGTACACCTCAAAATGAAATATGATATAGGAGATGGAATGGTTGGAGTTGTCATGGCGGATCTTGACATGGCCAAAACGTGTCACCAAATATGTCCCCATTTTTCCATCAATTTCCAACGTCTAAGAAAAAAGGTGTAATACCCTAATTTTTACTCCTAAGATTCCACATATCATTTGCATTTTATACCACAAGTAATATCACAAGCTTTGGTTCTCTTGTCTTCCTCTATAGGTTTGTCTTTAAGGGATATCATTGGACACCTTTCTATTCTTGTATGCTTGATATTTTTTATGTTTATGTTTACTAACCCTTAATTAAAATACCAAAAACATGTTTGTTTTCTTTTCTTTACTAACTCTTTTTCAGGAAGAGGGTTGGATTAAGAATATCAATCAACATTCTCTCAGCTCGAATAAAATTCAACTGAAGAAGTCAAAATTGATTTGCAAACAATTCAAAATCATTTGATCAAGAGTTTCCCAAGATTTGATTGTTCATTATTCAAGAGACTCCAAGGTTCATGTGTTTATTTTCATGTCTTCTTTGACAAGAAAAAAGAATCGAGCCAGAGCCAAGACAACACATAAAAAGGGAATTTCTCACAATTTTTGTTGTGTTAATCGATTAACACTATATGGTTAATCGGTTAACCAATGCGTTTTTTTGTGAAAATGAACCAAATTCAAATTCTGCAGCATTTTGCCACCAATTTTCAAATATTTCATCATGGGAATATTTTAGATCACCTCATTTTAATTCCTCTACCGCATCATAATTAATTCCCACCATACACCTTCACTAATCATCATTTGATCTTGATTTTGCCTCCAAATTCAAATTCCAAGCCTAATTTTGGTTCCAAACCAAATTCTAAATCACCAAAATTTCCAAGCCTAAATTCTATAAATAGATGCCTCATTTAATTTATTCTTCAAGCTTTGATAGCCAAATTCACGTTGCTAAAATTTCTCTCAATTCCCTTCAACTATAAAATTCACCAAAGTTCTTTCTTCTTTTGAAAGTTAGTAAGTTCTTCGTTGGAACTTACTAATATTTGAGCTAAAACCTTCATCCAATCACTTTTTCGTCATCAATTTTAGTAGATCAAGGCTTTGGAATATGGTTCTTGAAGTTAATTTGAAGCAATTTTGGATTTGAAGTGGTAAACCCTTATTCCACCATTGTTGTGCTTGACCTACCTTCCACAATGTGATCTATTGTTGATTCTTGTTGCTTGATCTTTGGATCTTGC